CCCGCTCAACATTGACATTTCCGATGGCGGGTAAAGGTTGCCTAGTTAAAAAATGTTCGGTGGTAATTGAATTTTCTGGTAAAACCTTGATTGGTATGGACGAGCGTATCTCGGATATATCAATATTTTGGCGCCTATTTGTTCTTTGTTTTTGCTGTTTGTTGCTCAAATATCCCCTTCGCGGCTTAGATTTGCCCTCGCAGGAGTACGAATGCCTTACTGATTTAACAAAAGGGACTTTGGGAAATTCTAAGTCAACCCTGGGAAGCGCCTGGCCATCCTCTCTTCTTGATTCTGATAGTATGAAGCGACGAAGCGTAGTTACGAATGTTGGACAAAACATTGGGTTGTTTGAACACCTCAATATTTCTGCAAATTTGAAATAATTGCTGGGCGAGGGTTGGATCATTAATTTGGGCTTAACCTTCTCTAATTTCTCATTTATGTCTAACTTGTCACAACGTTGGTCTTTTTCAGGTACACGATTGTGTCTGGCTCTTTCTGACAGTTCACTTTACTTATTCCTGGCAACATTTAGCCGTACCTTCGCTGTTTCTTCAGATCCTATATTTACACTCTATATCAACAACGAATATTGAATTCACTGGGAATTACATTGCCTCCAATTTGTTTCCTGCAAACTATCATTTCTGTCAGTTGCACAGTCAAAACCCTGACCAGACTTCTTAGGGTCTTTTACCATCATTCTTAACGTGTGAAACGGTGTAGTTGTACAAGTTTGCACACTTAGCAGTTAAATGCAAGAGTCTTTGACTGGGACACTTTTTTCCAAATCTATTTTTACAAAGATACAGCGCTGTCATACTGTCGCACTGTCAAACAACTAAACTGAATATTTTAAAAAGGGAGGGTCAGCCCCGTGGTACATATCTGCTGACATTTGTCACACTTCTATCGATTTAAATTGCAAGGCAACAGGCTTTATAATAGCCTGATAACAGAAAACAGGGTCCAACATTATAAACACTGGTTTAGCAGCGCAGAAATATTTACAGCTGTATTGATTCATATTACAACTTCAAGAGGGCAGATATGATGAAACCATGAAGAGGATTCCAGGGCATGAAAAAGTTATGAAACAGATACAAAAAGAGTAACTGGGATACCTTGTAGATCGTCATAAAATTCAAGGGTGAGCATCTCCCACTTTACATAATCGTCCAAACGTCTGTTTGACTGTTGTTCTAGAAAAATAATTGAACTTTCTGTGGAGAGATAACAAAAATGAGAGAGAGAATCGAGATAGGTTTAGTATTTCTGTCAAAATTCTATTGCTAACTTGGCAAGTCTAGTGTGATGACGTCTTACAGAATATCTGGGAAAAATGGAAAGAGCTCAAGATGTTGATCAATTTTTTTATTTTCAAATAACTGAAGGAAGGTAGCCCTTCAGCAAATGCTGGTTTACAAGGGGCCCTCCATTTAATTTACAATATTAAAAATATAACGCCTGCACGACTCTAAAAGAAAAGCATTTTTGCCCATTTTTTGATGTTTTGTTAGGCAGTTATAATCTGTACTGGTATTGCGAAGAACCCACAAATGGCCTTTGGAATTCCTTCTAGATAAGTCCCATTAATATTCTGACGCTAGTTCATTAAGGGTCTTGTAAACTATAGTGTTAATTTCAGTATTAATCGAACTCTGAAGTGGTTGATGTCCAAGAGTATTTAACTGTGGTCTAACATCTACATCTTTTAACTGCAAAATATTTTAAATGCGAGGAACCAAAGAGCCAAACCAAAGTGCCAAACCAAACCAAAGAACCAAAGTTTGCTTATAAACGTGTAATCCAGTGTCCGGTTGTCTACTTCCGATGCTTGCGCAAATCTACGATGTTGATGTCGCAGTAATCTTCTACGTTTCCTCTTTCTTTGGAGAGGTTTTCGGTTTGCCGTAGCTTCTACTTTTAATACTTTTACAAAATTTGAGAATACCCATTAAATGATTTATTCCATTTGAAAATATTTGTAAGAAATCAAACACAAAACGCGTGAAAATAATAATTGTTTGATTGTCGTCATAATTAAAAATTTACCAATATTTACTTTATACCTTTTGGCATTCGAATCCAACAAACGGTTCCATCCAACGCAACTTTTCCTAGAACCTAATGAGCTTTCAGTCACAATGACAGACAAATATTTAGTGGTGATGAATTACAACAAAAATATTAAGAATGAGGCATGAAAGTAACTGCATCTGATGTTGTCACTTGGAGTTGCAATAGCATGGGAATTATCAGGTTAGTCACAGTATAAAATTGCATGTCTCTAACTTATAGCCTAGAACCGAGCTCTGCTTACAGGTGAAAAACTACAGAAACACTCTTTAAAAATGTATTGAGCTCCTTCTACACCCCATAAATCAGCAGGTTTATTGTGAATGTAAAACTTATTACCACAAAAATAAAACATCAAATTAAAAAAAACCTACGCTATAGTTGATACTTGAAAATATTTGCGAAAAAAATCCGTCATTCAGTTTTATTTAGCTGTTGCTAAACTTACAATAAATATCCGATGACTGCAGAAACTGAATTCACACCGTCGGAGAAAAACCAAACAATGGTAGATTAGCTAATAACAACACAACTATCAGTTGCACTTTACGAACAGTACTTGTAAGGAGTAATTCGAGTATTCTAGTTACTTTAAGAAAAGAAGAGAGGATCACATTCTGAACACTTATATCTAAAAAAGCAAAGGAAAAGCTTTTCGATAGGCAGCCAAATCAAGCTAGAAAATCAAGACATAAAAAACTTGCCAATTCATCAGAAACAACGGGAGATGAATACGAGGCCAAAATAAGATTTTTCTTTGTATCCAGCAATGACCAACATCCAGCTGAAAGTTAAAATTCATCGCTCATAGATCAAAGCAAAGTATTGCAACCGGTGTGTTTAAAAGGATGAATATATAAATATATATATATCATAGAGTTGAAGAAAATAAGACTACATGGTTTATCTCTACAAGCCTGTTTCGTGAGTAACTCACTCTTCAGGAGATGTTCCATGATATATCACGCTCTACGTGCTAACGTATTGAGCACTGTGCTACGGAAGTATCCAAAGACAAATTTCTAAATATATATGTATATATATACGAGAAAAACCTTCATTTGTTATTCGATGCAGCCGGGAGGATGATAAATGCAGCATTACCAATATCTAAAAAGAGAGCAATTGCACCGTAAGCATTACTAAACAATTCTTTCCATAGCAAGCAATCTTAAGAACAGCGTTGAAGCAGATGCATGATAAGAGTTCATTAGAAAAAAGACGAACAATTCGAAACGTTTACGTAAAAGTATTGTTCTTCAAAATCTATTTATATCTTTATACACACCCCTGACAAAAGTATTGCACCACCTCGAAGGAGGGGAATAGTACATTAATTACTAAAAGCTTTTGTTATAGAAATTAATTGTGTTGCTTGCATATTGAGTACCGGCCCCATTGAAGACTCCTCTATCACGCTTTAAATGGCGGAAGAGCCCAGGCATGAATACGTGGATGTTTGAAGTTAGTTTCATCAATCCTATGTTTAGCATGACCATATCAGTTTTTCATTAACAATAGAGCCGTGATTAAAGCGTATATATATTACAATCAGGTTGAAATTTATACATAGAGTTTTCTTAACGTTGTCAAAAATCAAATAAACTAAAGTACTGTGTACCTTGCTGGGGCTTATTGGGGAAAGTATTTTTGCTGAACGTCTCAAACCTGAATACTTCACTTAATGATTCTTTGGTTTTCGGACAACCATTTGAATCAAGATGTTTAAGGTCTTTCATACAAGGTCTATCATTTTCTATTTCTGGAAGACACTCATTCAAATTTTTCTGGAAGAATTTTGAGGTGAAAAACCTTGTTCAGCTTCAAGTTCCATGTCTTTTAGTGTCCCTAAGTGCTGTGAAGTAAAACAGACCAATTCCTTCCTCTCTAACATCAAATTTTGTTACACGTCCACTGTTCGTTTTCCTTGCTAAGAAACATTCTTGAAAAAACATTTTAAATTTCTCACAACTGTTATGTGTTATGCGGCTGCATCAAGGATCAACCCTAGGCGTATTGCTCTTCAATATTTACATGAACAATATTTTTCTGCCTTTGAACAAAAGCAACTTACGCAACTATGCAGATGACAACACAATTTGGCTGTCAAGTACTGATACGAACGAATTAACCATTCTTAATAAATGGTTTTGTGAAAACGTTTTGGTGCTCCATAGTGATAATGCAAGCTTATAACTTTTAAAGTCAACCGATCCAATTAAGAGGAATCTAAAACCAAAATAAATAGTTCAACTATCAAAGAAAGTAAAAATGCAAAAGTATTGGGGTTTTTTGTAAAGAAGGTCGGAAAAAGGTAAACCCTCTAGCCAAGATTGCTTCCTACATGGACAAATCTAAGCGAGATCTTTTAATTAAACCGTTCATTTGATCATAATTCAATTATTTGATTTCAATTATTGACCTCTTACTTGGATGATTTGCAGTAGGAAAAGTAATAGCCGGATAAACCAGAATCATGAAAGGGCAATGAGAATAGCTTAGGATGATTGTGAATCAAATTTTGAACAACTTTTAAGAGAAAACATAGTCAATAGAAAGGAGGACTGGTCTGGAAGCCTATTGTTCTAACTCTTTGTTCAAAGATTACGTGGTCACGTGCCAAACTGAGTGCAAGGAACTTTCCCGCGCTAAGTCAAAAGATAAGGATTCATAAGGAAAACCGTAAATTTATGTTCGAATATTGTTAGAATGAACCGTTGTTTTTTGTAACTATGCCTGGAGCGAATTGCTCATTTCAGGCTGTCACACTAACCGAGGAGAAAAGTACGAAGGGATCGCGATATTTCGAGTCTCACAGCGGAGTCTTCCCAACTATGTCGCTTGGCGAGAGGTTAACAAAGTAGTAAAACATACGTACATACGATAGTCAATAGAAAGGAGGAATTAACATACGAAAATAAAGTAGTTGAATCATACGTACATCTATAGAGTTTTTTTAACTATATTTTTATTTTTCAGCAATTGATTTGTCTGAAAATTTAATGATGTAACCATAAGTTTTTTAACTTCCCAACACAGAACTTTTTTCACTGAGGATGTTCTTGCAAAGTGGTTCTTAGATCATAAAAAAGTGGTTCTTAGATCAAATTGACACTTCAGTAATTTATTTTTACAAAAGTACTATTTTTCTGAATAAATTCCCACATTCTTGTAAATGACAACCTCTGATAAACACCCATCCTTTTTTATTTCATTATGAATTATTTTATTAATGCCAATTCTATGATCTAGTGACTGGAAATATAGTAGTAACAACTTATTTTGGAATACAATTCAGGGAAGGTTTTGAACATAAAAAAGATATCATGTATTTATGATACATAGACTAATTTATAAACAAGAACCATAAAATTGTGCATTTACACAGATACATATAATTGTGTGTGTTGGGAAAGCAGTTAATTCCATTTATCTGCCTGTTTGCTGTGGGAAAAAAGTAACTTGACTTTGATTTATCTTTGCACTTTGTTAAACACCTGTAATATCTTTGTCTGATGACTTCTTTATACCTTTGTGTAATCCTTTTACTCGTTTTCTCTCCAGTTGTGTTTTTGTTTTTGTTATAGAAAAGGCTCTCACTCGTAGGTATAATTTGATCATATTCTCCAGTAGGCTTAAACTTGTCTCCTTTTCCAAGATGTGTGCATCATACTCTTTGATGGTATTGAACAAACTTGTTATGTTAATGTGCTTCATTAATTTTTGCGTTATTTCTTGGCAGTTAATGGACACCACATGGCTCTGTGTTTCTCTTCTAAATTCTTCTTCAACAAGTTTGAATAACTCAATAACTTCTCTCTTAACTCCCCATAAACCACCTCTAGATTGGCATTGGATCAATCTCTGAGTGGTAATATCATCACTCCGGCAGGAATTCAGCAATAAAAGCACACCCTGGACAGCTTCAGATTTAGAATCAGTTTTTCTGTTATATTTTCTGACCAGTGAGTGAATTACATAGCCAGCTAGGTATTGCAGCCCATCAAATTCACGTTCTGAAATTGGCTTGACCACAACAGGTTGCTGAACAGGTTTCTTATAGAATGCTAATATTTTATCAGCAAGTTGTGATGCAAGAATAGTGCACACAGGCATTTCCAACTGGCTGAAATATTTTTTGGCATTTTTGACAATAAGAGAATAAAATGCAGAATAGAATTTTTCTGCATCTCCATTTCTTTTCAAGGACTGATAAATTTTCAGAATTTCTTCTTTCAAGGAATTGTTCACATCTTCTGTAACATAAGCAACTGCAATACTGCGGATTTCGTCAGGAAAACACTCATCTTTGCTTATATCTTCTTTTGCTTCTTCAATAAAAGATTTAATGTTCACACTATCGAAACTTATGGTATCTCCTTCAGTCTCTGTTCCTGTTATTTCAGTGTGTTTCAGATCCTGATGTTTTTTCAGCCCTCCTTTGCTTTTATAACTTTTTCCACAGTGGGAACAACATAAACTTTGAGTTTTTTCTGTCTGCCAAGAAAAAAAGATTGGCAGTTTAGACTATTGACAAAAATATTTATTTTAAATTTCAAATTAGATAAAAATATACTTTTATTTAAAAGAAAATAGGTGATAACAGAAAACAGTTTCAGGCACGAAGTGTTGTATCTCTTCCAATAAATACCCACCTGTTCATAGGGTGGTCTTTATTAGAAACATTGCATATATCTAGCGTTTCAAAAAATGAATAAATCTCTGGGTATTTATTGGGGGAAATAGATACAGTTTGTTCGTACTCGTAAAAAACGTCTACCCGAGGCCTAAAGTCTCCAGCGGCTGACTGGCTTGGACTTGCAATTGATGATAGATTTAAACATTTTGACAACTCTGTTTCAAAACAATCTAAATACATTTCAAGTACAAAATATAATTAATATGATAAACAAGCCAGAGAGGCATTCCAAATATTATCTTTGGAAACTAAACATCCAGTCTCATGGATGTATGTAAATAGGCCTATTGAAAATGAAAACGTAATAAATGTTAAAAAATGTTCTATGTTTCACCTGTTGAGGATCTTCAACCAATGCATCATCGCATTGCAGTTTGAATTCATCATCATCCATGTACTCGAACAAAAAATCGATTGTTACCCCACTCAAAAAGTCTTCTTCATTTGTGGTGTTTCCACTGTAGAACGCCATTTTAAAAAACAACTTGCACTCAGTTTGACCACGTGACTGGATTTTGTCCGATCGCCGAGTTTCTAAAGCGCAAACAAAGAAAACAAAAGAGAGAGAACAATAGGCTTCCAGACCAGTCCTCCTTTCTATTGACTATGGAGAAAAGAATAAAACAATGAATTCTCATAAGAAAAATTTATAATATTTTGCGATGGAA